AATGGGAATCTTTTCCTTTGGCACTATCTGATTATTTCCAGCTCTTCCTCTTCCCTCTCTTCCACTGTTATGATCAGATATAATCCGGATATGGGTGGATCCCAAAAACGTTGACAATGATAACATTCTTTGACAAACATGTTTATTTACAAAAGGGCGCAAGACTGACAACGTACAAATAAGATCACCGGTACTCAGAGCCAAGATAACCGTGAACGTTTTCAAACAGCAAAGATGTTCACAATTCGCAAGCCAGGCTGGTCCCCACGCCCTGCAAAGAGCAGTGGTCAACTGTAAATATATTATTCCCCCCCAAAACTTTCCTTATCGTTTCCCAGATTGTATTGCATGGCGCAATACATTTTATGATTATTTATTTTTTGATTAATGAAGTTATAAGGACACTAATCCTTGTAATGCATTTATGATTCCTGTAATTGAATGTGTGTCATATTGAACACATTTATATTTGAATTATGTTGAACTGTTTTTCTTTTCTTTTTCTCACAAACCGTGACTTAGGTTGTTTGTGAAAAGAGTGACATTCATCGTCAATTTCTTTCACAACTTACATGGCTCAACTAACCATTGCTTGTAAAAATTAAGATTCACATTGTGTTGAATGACAGGCCCATAGAATGACCTTAATAAATTTCATAATATATTTTTATGGATAAAAGTTTTTTGTAGAGATTTATGTGTAGTAATTTGTTACTTGTCTACAACTACTGTAAATGCTGAGACTACATGTATGTAAAATCAACCGGCAAACATTATATTTTAAGTCGTGCTGTCAGGAGATTTAAAAAAATTGTGAGATTAATTTATGAGCTGTAATTAATCTATTTTTTAATTTCATCTAAAAATTGCTGAGAAAACCACTATTTTCATTTTAAATTCATTACATTATTGAGGCAGATCAAAAGCTTGACATCACAAAAAAGTGGAATTATAAAGTCTTTTATTCTTTTTAAACAGACTTGAACAATTGCAGTCCTAGCCATTTACCTTCTGCTGTATTTGAGACAAGTCCCAAGTCACACCTGCAACCTTTAGTTTCGACCACCAGGAGGGATAGCAATGTTTTTTGTTTTTATGTAAATCTCCAAATAATTATAAAATAAAAATAAAATAGATCAGGTCCATAAAAAGTGCTTAGGTTAACATGTCAAAAAGAGTAAGAACACTTTTCTGAGCAATTCAAGTCATGAACTTGGTTCAGATAATAAAAAATAAATAAGACAGACCCTTCAATCACAGTGCTGTTAAGTTAGTGCTTCAGAAATAACAGTTCATAATGACAAAATAAAGTGCTGAAATAAACATCAATCACTTCTAGTAGGCTGCAGAGGACACAGGAGCGAAGAAAACTCCTTACAAATTAGGCACAACACTCCACCTTCATCGTCAGTGCTTTTTTGGAAGGTAAATTTTCCATTTATTGGGTCGAGAACCCTCACATGCTCCTCCATGTTCACCTCTCCTCTCCTCAACGCTGCTTAGCTGGCCCTCCCACAACTCCCAATGGGAGCCAATCATCTTATGCTAAACAAGCCCAAACATAATGACAGCCAATCAATGTCCGCTTCAGGCTGTGACTGACCACTGTTTCCCCGCCCTCAACAACTTGAACACAGGAAGCCAATACATAAAAAGGGATACTATAAAAAGGCAACCCACCTACAGAAACAATAAAGTTAGAGATTAAAATTTCGATTAACGCGAATAAAAAAACATAACGCGCTAAATCTGACTAATTAATTTTCGCAATCAATGCGGTAATTTGACACCTCTAATTTTAAGGTGCACAATCGGCCAAATTAATGGGTTGGACGATTCATCATGGTCTGTTTCAGAATACATAATTAAATCAGTGGGCTTCAATCCTCATTTTGCATGTTTTTTTGTATTAATGGTTGTGATGTGAAACATTAAATATTCATTGAGTTTCTACTGCTCAAAGGCTGAAATAAGCAACAAATTGTTTGATGACCTAATACTTTTATGCAGTACTGTTTATGGATAAAAATATCAGTCGTGTGTGTAAAAAAAAAAAAAGTCAAATATTTCATGTTTAGTTGTAAAGTATTTGAAAATGCTCAAAATATATATTTTTCATCAAACGTATTCTAAATGGTATCCTTACAGTATGTTCTTTCCTAATACAAATAAAATGAAATTACAGTTGTTGCAGTGGTTTGAGAACTGGGGAATTTTATGCAGGTATCGAATGGAAGTCAAAATTTTGTGTAGAGCTGGTCGACTGTTCCACGGCCTGGATGAAAACAATACTGTTCCAATTGAACCTGACATTGAACTTTTTGACTGACCCTCCTCTCTAAAACCCCAAAATAGACCTTACCAGAGGGCTGAGGAGTGTGATCATCCTGTAATTGGAACAAAACCTCTGGTCCCACTTATTCAAAAGGGGAACCATCACCCCTCTGTGCCAATCAAGAGGCATTAGCCCATATGTTCATGTCAACTTTCATGTCAACTTTATTCTCAAATGTGCTACATGTGCAACATACAGCACGGATGAAATTTCTTTCCTCAGGAGAAAGAGAAGAGCCGCTGCGGGTGCCCGCGCCGCCATGTTCATGTGATGTTGTAGTGACCCGTCACCCAGGACAGCTCCACAACATCACCTTTATGACTTCAACCCCTTGAGGCCTTGCCAACAAGGAGCTTTTAAACCACTTTGGTGACCTCAACCCAAGAGATAGGAGAGCCCACCTCAGAGGACTCTCCTCATCAGAAGGCGTGTCGGTTGGACTTGAGGAGGCCTTCAAACGTATTCTCCCCACCGACTCACAACATCCCAGTTGAGGTCAGCAGCATCCCATCCCCAATATAAACACACAGAGTTGATGGTGGACTGCTTCCCCCTACTGAAACTCCGGCTGAATGGACTAGAATTTCCTTGAAGCCATCCGGAAATACTTCTCCATAGCCTCACTGAACTCCTCCAACCTCTATTTTATGCGTCAGCGACCACTAAAGTTGCATTCCACTTGGCATGCTGATAACCATCAGCCGCATCAGGAGTTGGAAAGTCGAAAGTCTGTTCCTCCCAATCACGGCCTTACAGGTCTCACTTTCACTGCCCATATAAGCATTGAAGTCCAAGAAATCTAAAAAGAGTGGGTACTCACAGCTGATGTTTGATGTATGGGCACAAACAGCTGTCAGGACACACCCCCACACCCCAAGGCAGAAGGACTCCAACCTCTTGTCTCCTGGGGTGAATTCCAATGTACAGGCACTGGAGAAAATAGGTCTGTGGTACCAGAGGCCAACCTGAGTGTTGAGTACGACTATATCTAGTCGCAATATCTTGACTTAGCATCTCAGGCTTCTCCACTGCCAGAAAAGTGACAATCCACATCCCCAGAGCTATCCTCTGTAGCTTAGGGTGGGCAGTCAAGGTCCCTGCCTGCGGCCACCAAGTAGCTCGATATGCAGCTGACCCTCTCGGCCCCTCCCACAGGTGGTAAGCCTATGTGTAGGGGGACCAATGTTACCACTTAGGGCTGTGCCCAGCCGGGCCTCATGTATGCAGGTCCGGCCATGAGGCGCTTGTCATTGAGGGTCCCTGTAATCCTCTATGAATAAGAATACCATGAGGCTGCAGAATAAAAAGTAGGTCTAAGTATTGTCTTAAAATGTATTCCTTTTTGACACACACTAACCCATATTCAGAACAAATGAAGTCCATGTCATCTGTTTTACTTTGGGTTCATTGAAGATCAGTATGATTGTTTTGTTTTGTTTCTGTTGCAGGTGAGAAACCATTCCAGTGTGAGTTTTGTGAGCGACGATTTGCCAACAGCAGTGACCGTAAGAAGCATTCACAAGTCCACAGTTCTTCAAAACCCTATGACTGTAAGGCTCTGGGCTGCACCAAGTCCTATACACATCCAAGCTCTTTACGCAAGCACATGAAAGTCCACATCAAATCATCACCTACCTCTGAGCCCTTTGACCTATATGACTCCATCCAAAAACACCAACGACCTCAGCCTCTTCTTGAACCACTTGACCTTAAAATTAACCACCTGTCGCCATCATTCAGCAATAATAACACCAATTTTGACTTTGATAACACTACATCCAACAAATTAAACCACAAGCTACAGGGAAGTTCATCTCCATTGGCAATGCCTTTGGACCTATCTCTTTCGGGACTAAAGAGTGATCTTGCCCTGCAACAGCAGCAGACTCACAGGACCGCAGGAAGGAGCCAGCTGTCAGTCAACCCAGCCATACCTGAGTTGTCTAACATTAAGGAGTGGTATGTCTGTACCAGAACTACAACACCAAACTTTCCTCTTCCTCACCCAGATGACATCAAATTGGAACCAAGTGACGATGAGGATTATGGCACGTAACATGGTGGGACCCAGGGTTTAAGAGGTTAATAATGCACCAGTATTGTCAAACCCCGAACAGAGGATTTATGGAATTGTGCAGTTTTATGGAAGCTGTGGTACCTGATTTTTGCTTAAAAGTGTCACTAATGTTAATTCCTCAAGACACCACACGCTAGCCTCCCCCCCCCCTCAAAAAAAAAACGTTTTAACTACACTGCTATGCACATACAAATTGTATGATAAAAATGGCCCGGAGTTTATGTTTTGTACAATTGTTTCGGTTTGATGATGTCAACACCTTTTTTTCTGCATTATTGTGAATATTTTCATGAATCATTGTGTCTCAGAATGTGTTATGGATGATTACAAATGCCTAGGCTGTACAGTTTAGCCCAAAAGTGTTTGGAGCGTGGCTTTTTTTTTTTCCATTTTATTCCTTGTACAACACCACAATTGACTTGACTGAAAACCTGAAAACAATACAACAACAAAAAATTTCATTGAAGTGAAGACTTTTAGATTTAAGTTAAGATGTTTAACACAAGGAAATAAGGAATGGAAAATATTTTGATAATCATATCAATTTTGAATTTGGAAACTTTAGAGAATTGTAAAATTAAACTCCTCAGCAGTCAGTAGTCTTCATTTACTAACCGAGCGTTCACAAATCACAAATGAAGAGATTCATCAACATCTACGTATTCTGCAAACACACTTGGAACAGCCTCAGAGCAGGCATAGGTAGAAATAATGAATGGATTGTTTTCTGGAAACACAAAAAACAAACACATCGTCTACCCAAGATGCACACTACAATGCTCCTTATCGTAATTTCTACAAATGCTAATAATAATTTCAACAAAAATATAAATCGAGAATTTGCTAATGAGTTAAATAATGTCCAAAATAATGACACTTCCCATCCATCACTTTCACCCTATTGCCATTCAAGTGCGTGTCTCTTTACTGGATGAAGGAATCCGCCGCTGTCTCAGTGACGACCGTTGTCACTCAACAAGCAGAGTGTATGCTGATCCCATTTGTAGAAGACAGCCAACTGCTTGCATTTCCTGGTTTATCCAAGGTTTGAACGTTTTCGTATTGATGAAGTATAATACTTGGACGCTACAAAACATTTCCGGACATTTACTGTGGTCAAACAACCGTTCAGAAGATCCTACATTTGTCAGCGCTGGGTTGCTGGTAACGCGACTCGGGCCGGCACAGATGTCATCAAATACAAATGCCTCTTTACTGTGCTATATTTATTCCCAATTATCTATTTCAACAACTTGTGCGGTGTTTATTAATTGATTCTCTCATATGGATGTTTTGGGTACTGCATTCGCTAATTTAAATGAATAATTAAGTAAAAATCATTGACTTGGTATCGAGTTCTGTATTTCAATCCATAAATATGTCAAAAGAATCTGTATCCCTCACCACAGTTATAAACGTGTAACAATCTACTAATGCGTGAGTGAAATCACAAATGTGAAAGGAGAATCCACAAACGGGTCACTCAAGTCATATATGTGTAAGGAGAATCTACAAATGTGTGAATGAACTCACAAATGTGGAAATGAGAATCTACAAATACGTAACTAGAGTCACATATGGATGACATAAATCTGCAAATGTGTACATTTATTTGTATGCGTAAATACACGGTTAAATGCATCCATGGATCTTGAAGTGTGTGATCAGTGAACACTGGGCCTCTCGATCGGCTGTATTCTACATGTGACTTTTGCTACCGTCCTTTATTTACGATTTAGGAAGCCGTGGGACGATTTGCAAATGCTTTTCTGGAGACTTCAGACCACCAGAGGATTTTAGAACCACTAATATTCCCAATATGACTACAATCTTATTGGCCATCAAAATAATCATTAAAAAAAATCAACATAATTGTTGTTAAATATTGAATGAAAATAACAATAATTACAGAATAGAAGCACATATTTCATATTACCTTATTTTACAATTTAATGGCCATTTTATTTATATTTACCTGTTATATATCAACATGTTATTTGAAATTGTTTTTATTGATTTCATTTTTACATTCATTTTGAAGGCGGCATAGTGGACAACTGGTTAGCACGTACACCTCACAGTGCAGAGGTCAGGAGTTCGATTCCAGCCCCGGTCCCGCTGTGTGGAGTTTGCAAGGCCGTAGCGACCTTGTCGAAGTGTCCTTGTGCAAGACACTGAACCCTAAGTTGCTGCTGATGTTGCCAACTTATCTATCAAAACTATTAAAGACACGGGAAACAACAGCGCGTCTGTGTTTGCACGTGAATCTCTCTTCAGAATACTAACCAACGGGGATGCATGCCTTGTAACATGGCAACAGACCGTGGTGACATAGAGGTGGACAGTTTACATACACTGCACACAACTTGAGCATCTACGCAAAATCACAGTTGGATTCATGACACGTGTGTAGCAGCACGTGCTTTGCACTAGTGTACCTATTTATTTGTTATGTTTTGTAGCGTCCACCTGTATATTGATGAAACAGAATTCAACAAAAATGGCAGCGCATGCCTACGACGCAATAATTTGCATGAACCACGAGCCATATTTTCCAAATGACTATGCAGAGGTTTAAAAAAATAACAATTGCAAGAGATGGACCGAAAATTTTCACAACAATCTCAATGTTTATCCTTTTTCTAAAAAGATTTGTATCATTGTCAATCTTTTTTGAAATACAGAACCTAATACTCAGTGGTGGACCCTCAGGGCCAGCAAGGCCTTCTCTGCTGGCCTAAACATTCTTAGAAAAGTAAATTTACTTTTCTGAGAATAACATTAATTTGTTATTTTATTTTCATAAATATGGAAACAAAATTATTCTCTGTATTCTTTACGTCATATTATTTCCACTTAGTCGAGTGGCTTTCAATGTTATTTTAAATAACATTGAAAGCCGCTCGATAAATACTTATTAATTATGGTAGAGTTTTTAACCAATCATATTTCAGCTAGCTTGTGTTGCCAGGTAAATTAAACTTGCTTGGGGCCTTCAGATTAAACAGAGCAGGCCCCTGTGCGCTGTAAATGAACGGGCACAGTCAGGTTTCAATAGCCAATCAGATCACGAGTCTCAGACTCAGAT